GAAGCATTGGCTAAAGGAGATGGCAAGTCCTGTTGCAGGCTCAGAAACATTCAGGCTGGTTTGCTGGGAGATGTTTCTCTGTTCTTGTGCTCTTTCCTGGGCATTTGCTGTAGCAGGCGATACGGTTTGCCTGGAAGCTGAATGGGTGAGAATATGCCAGGTTTGTGTCCTGCTTGGACAATGGCTGGGGTGGGAGCCACATGGGACGGTCTTTGAATCGGCTATTATAATTTACCTACTAGAAAAGTTGCCAGTTCTGTACTTTTCATTAAAGGGTAGGGTAAATGGCTTTCTGTATTGCAGGCTTCAAGATCTTTACCTTTTTTTTTTTCAGTCTGCATGGCAGCTGAGCTTTTAATTTGGTTGTACTTCTGTCAAATGCTTCGCTATCTTGGTGTTGAGACCCTCAGTTCCTGCTTTCTCTTGACAGACACTGCAGCAATACATGCCACGGTGTATCGCTTGCAGCTTCCAGTTGATCCCTGCCTAGAGGACAGTCAAACGAAAAGCTTGCAGCTGCTTATTATTTTTGGGGGCAGAGTGAGAGAATAGTGAGCTGGGTATTTTTTGCAGCGAGGGTCAGTGTCTGTCTTTGTCTGCTGTGTGACCCAGCCTATGAAAGACTTGCTTATTCCTTCCTCCTCTGAAAGATTTGGGAGGCAGTGCCAATGGTGGTTGGGCAATCCCTTGCAAAGGGGTGAGGAATGACATCTCCCTTCACTACAGGTGAAATGGCAATTGAAGAGTGGGTCCTTGATGGTGAGCACTACTACTATTGACCTGCCCTTTGCGTGTCGTGCATAGAGTTTCCTTCCATCATCTGTTGTGGATGATGGAAATCACCCAAAAGGCATGTGAAGCAGTCCATGTATTTATGGTCTGTTTGCAAGAGAGTTAACTACTTTTGCTCAGTCTGTGCTTTATCTGCAAGGTTTTTAGCTGTTTGGGGCTTGCTAGTGTAGGGCTCTATGCATTAGGAAGAGCTTCAGTTTCCTTTCCATTCAGCTAGATGACTGCAGTCACTTGTGAGTTCTTGTATTTTATGCTGGAGAAAATCAAGGAGACTGAAGATTCTTCTGTTCAGGAGAGCAAGTTGTTAAAAACTTACAGCCTTTCTGAAAGAACATGTCTTCAGGTTGGAACATCCTGTGAAATTTCTGGTAATTTTCAAGTTGCTGCTCTCAAGATACTCCTTTCAGGTTTGTAATAAGTAGATGCTACAATAATTTTTTACTTGTCAAAGCACTGATCTCTTAAAGGTGGACTTGGAAGAAACCTGACAGCAAGCTTGAGGCCATTTTTCTTAAGAGGGAAGTTGTCTGATTTCAATTCCAAAAGTCAAGGCAAAGAAAATAAAAGGTGGGGTTCCCATGAATATTTAAAAACTATCTAAGTACAGTTACTGATAACTCCTCCAATAAGTCACTTATTGTTGTAACACAACAAACACAAGCAGCACTATGAACCTAATAATATTCCTTCCTACTTAAAAAATAGTTCTATGTATTTTCATGGTGAGCAGTGTCCCATAAAGTACAGCAGGGGGACTTGGTGAAATGCAGAACCCAGAGCATAGCAGGTCCTGGCACCTCTGCTCCAACGTGACCTGGCCCTTCAGAAGCACCTGGATGGCTGATTCAGGAACCGTAGGGCCTTCACTTGATTCAAGTAATTCTGCTGTAGACAGACTTGCTACCCGGGACCATCCTATGAAAAGCTTACTTTTGGTATGGCACCACACTGCCAGTCTAGGTGAGGTGATTTAAACCCGAATTTAGCAACATGCTTACAAGTTCTGTATAGATTAATTTGTCATTCTGGTGTTGCACTGGGAGTCTTGATTCGGGTAGAGTGTCTGTTGCCTTCGTATGCTGTGTATTGAATCTTGAATCTCGCTGTGAGGGAATCATGTTGCGTGGGTCACTTTTTAGGAGGCGCATTGAAACAAATCAACACTTTCTTTCCACTAAACAAAAGGACTGTCTTCATTGAAAATTACAGTACTCCCCTTTATCCTAAGGCAAGATCTAGGACATGCTGTCACTGTCCTTCTCACGGATTTTAGTACGATTGTTTAGCCAGTCTCGAAAGAATAAGGAATCTCTCGTTATGTATGTTCAGTTTCTAGCTTGATCAGTCTGCAATGAGAGATCCTGGCAGATCAGGTTCTGTACAATGGTTGGGTGGGGTTTAATGGTACTTTTGTCTTTTTGGTGTTTACATACTCACTTGAAAATGCAGGATAAATTTCAGAACTGAAGAGAAAATAAAAAGAAAGAATTTGAATGGCATATAAAACACTGTCCCTTTTTAAAGTTTACAAGAAGAGAGCATAGTAGTGGATCTTTGAAGCTTGAGGGACACGCATGTCTTCTTGAAAAATGTTAGCCAGGGGGGTGTGGCTTTTTGTTTCTGAAATACTGTTCAGTTTGGTAAGGTGTGTTTTTATGGGTGAGAAATAGGAAAGTATTTTGGCCACAGTATTACTTTTATTTGAAAAATAATATTTGAGTACTTCCATTGGAGCATCATATTTACCTTTGGCTAGTATGATCTTTGAGTAAGCAAAGGGCCTGAAGTTAATTCAGACTATGCAGTCCTTGGATATATGCCTTTAGGATCTAAGAGGCAATGCTAACTTCATATTTCAGGGAACAAATAACATGTGTTGTCTTGAGGGTACTTTGGTGTTGAGCTGTTTTTTTTCACTATCCCTTTGTCTTGGTTTCGGCTGGGATAGAGTTAATTTTCTTCTTAGTCGCTGGTGTAATGCTGTGTTTTGGACTCAGGATGAGAGTAATGTTGATAACACACTGATGTTTTAGTTGTTGCTGAGCAGTGCTTACACTAAGTCAGGGACTGTTCAGCTTCTCATACTGCCCTGCCAGTGAGGAGGCTGGGGGGCATGGGAGGCTGGGAGGGGGCACAGCCAGGACAGCTGAGCCAGCTGGCCAAAGGGACATTCCATGCCATAGGATGTCATGCTGAACAATAAAACTGGGGGGGGGACTTGCCTGGGGGGTTGCAGCTGCTGTTCAGGGACTGTCTGGGCATGGGTCGGGGGTGGCGAGCAATGGCGCTGTACATCACTTGTTTTGTATATTCTTTTATCATTATTATTTTCCCTTCCTTTTCTGTCCTATTAAATTGTCTTTATCTCAGGCCATGAATTTTACTTCCCCCACACCCCCCACCCCTGCAGTTTTCTCCCCCATCCTGCTGCGGGGGAGAGTGAGTGAGTGGCTGCATGGTGTTTAGCTGGGTTAAACCTTGCAGTACTTCTTACAACTTCATGCCTTGTCACATGGAAAGATCCATTGCAGAACAAATACTCTTATGGTAAACAGGAGAGTTTTGAGATTTAAAAAATTCAAGAGGGTTTTCTCATATTGCCATGTCTTGCAAATAATTGTCCAGTTACTTGATGGTGCAACTTAATGAGCAGGAAGTGAACGTGTCCAGAATCACTCTGAAATGTAGTAGATGGCTTGTCTAATGTCCACCTGTGGTGGTAGGCGTCAGAAGTGTGCTGTATGTACTCCTCTAAGATACTGCTGTTTTAGCCAGGAGCTAATCGTGCAAAAAAATCAAATGGAGCAAGGGGTAGTATTTTATTTGACGAAGTAGTGTGATTGGGGGGGCAGAGGAAGTGGTGGGGCACTGGGTCAGGCATGTGGTTGCATACCACTACTCCAGGTTTTTTACGTGCCTTAAAGCTTGCTGGTTTTTTCCCCTCCCCTTTCAATTTCGGTTGGTCGGGTAAAAGGTTTGGTTAAAGAAATTATTTGAGCACTGGGAGTGTCAAAAAGGCTATACTTGGCCAGCCCAAACTAGTCTTCTGTCTCCATGAGAGTCTGTGAGCAAATACTGACAGAAAATACCAGAGCACATATAGAGTGACATTGACTTGGGTGTATTATTCCAGTTTCAAGTGACTGGTTGTTCATTAATTTCAGAGCTGTTGATGGATCTGGTTTTATTTCTATTTATATTTCTGGCCTTTACAGCAACTTGTGGTAATTAGGAGCTGTAGGCATGGCTATGTGGTCCAAACTCCAACTTTTGACAAGTTACCTGGTAATTTCACTCTGCTTTAATCCTTGTGTTTGCTAAATAATGAATAGTCATTCCATTCCTATTCACAAGTCACTTTACTTGTGAATTTTGGAGTTTGTATATCCTTTCATCACTTGTTTTCCAAGTTTCTAGTATCTTTTTGCAAAGAAGAGCAAGAAGGGTAGATTCCACTGGTATTTTTCTCATTCTTCCATAGGTTTTATGAGAAGGGATGCTCAGCGCTACTTCCAGAATTCAGGAGCAGTGCTTTCTCTTAAAGTGCATCAATTTTATATTTAAATCTGTGTCTAGGTAGTAGGTTATTAACAAGTGACATATAAAAATGAAGTGATCTTTTGTACATGGTTTTATTTGGATGAAATGTGTGATGATGGAGCAGTTAAAGCATACAGGAGGTCTGTAACCATGTAAAAATATCAGTGTAATTATAAATTTGAAGGTCAGTATATATGAAGTTCAGAATATAACTCGATGCAAAAACATTTTTCTTTGTAAACTTCATTTTAAAGCTGGCTGTCTCTCCTCTCTATCCGCTATAGCATTCAATACATACTAACAATTGCAGCATTTTTTTAAGTTGCTGTAGCTTGCTTGTGAGATTATTAATGCTTAAAAACAGAGTGAATAGACAGCATTACAAAATGGAGAGGGGAGGGGAGCAATGGTCAAATACCTAAATCTTTACAGAGAAAATAAGCTGTGTTCTAAGATAAGCAGTTAGGAAAAGTTACCTCTAATTCCCATCTTAAGGCGAGTAAAAGTAGAACACCCTATAAATACTCCTCACCAACCTTGAAGCATCTAATACTACACTTGTGACAGGGACAGTTGTTTTTAACAATTTGTAGTGCAACTTTGTTATCAGACTAGTAAATGTATCATTTTTACAGCTTTAAGAAACTCATAGAAACACATCAGAGAAGATGACAAGATCTAGATCAAGGTCACCACGATGGAAACCAAGGTAAATATTTATCTATAACTTGTGCTCTGAAATGTAGCTCTATATAAGGATTTAATTAGGACTTAAAACTTGCATAAAAGAAAGAAAATTGGACCCAGAATTGCAATTTGTAAAGTGTATTTTGTAAAATATAATTTGTTTTCCAAATTGAACACCTTCTACAATTTTTTCCCAACTTGTAATTTTATTATGATTTTTTTTTTTTAAGCTGGAGGTGTTAAAGTTTTACTGTCTGCCAAGAACCTTGTTCAGCTTGCATGTTTTGGGACTTGGATTTTGTGCTTAAGGTTGTTCCAAGCACCAAACTAGTTCAGGTTATTTTTACTCAAACACCACCTGGTGCACTTAATGTCTGTAACTTGCTCCTGTTTTGCCTCTTGGTGTACAGGGAGGGTTAGATTGACTGTTGAGAAATGTACTTCTTCATTCAAACACCTCAGGGTTTCTCAGCATTTGGGGCTGATCCGCAAATTCATCTTTAGCACAGTTAGATGTACCTTGCAACATAATGTGAACTGAAAACACAGGAGTCAGTGCCCTTCTTTTTGGTCACTAGCCTAGTAGCATGTGTCACTGATGTTTGTAATCAGAATAACTTCATGCTGTTAGTTACCTGCTTAATTTTTAGGACTTGCAATGCAAATTTGAGGTGTTAAAACTAGGAGGCTGGAACACAATTTTAAGCTTTCACGAGCTTGAAACTACTTTTCTGATGGTTTTGGGTTGCTTTTCTAAAAAGACCAATTAAGTTGTTATGACCAAGACCAAGGGAGTTTGTTGTATAACACAGAAAAATGTGTGTGTTTTTATTTGTTTGTTTTTAAAAAGAGAAATCTTACCTACTTCCATACTAGATGGGTAGGTGTGAATAGGTCCTTTGAGTGAAGGGCAGGGAGGAATGCCCCAGCTCTCATTAAAATGCAAGCTTTAACCAGAACAACACGGAGTGGCAGCAGCAGTATGGGTGCTATTGGAAGCTAGCCATTATACTTGTATGAAGATCTGTGATTCTGCGTTTGAACTCATTTACAGAAATGGAAAAAATAGCTATGCCAAATTGTACATTTACAATATGTGCACAAAGGAAGTGACTTCCTTCAATAGTTTTCAACTTACACTTTAATGAGAACATCAAAAAATGTATCAAGAGTGTACTGTGAATACCAGAATACAAGCAGAACTGTTATGTCTGGGATTACTTTCCGGTTCTTGCTAGTGGCTTGTGCTGTTTTTTCTTTAAAGAAAGAGATTTCATCTGAAAGAACTCTTCATAGATTGCTTTCATTTTTGTAACTGTAGGTGAAAATGCAAAGCTGAGAACGGTGTAGTTGAGTGGATCTTAGCAATTGAACTCTTTAGTAGCAAAAGTGGCAGTAAGTGTGGAAGTGCATATGTATACGTGTATATATATGTACACACCATTATACAGAAAGACCAAAACCTCTTTCTCAAACTCAGTCTTTTCTGCAGGAAAAAGCCTACCCGTGTGACATTTTAAATATGATATTTTGTAATCGTTTTCAATCAGTTTTGGGTGTTGTTTTGGCATGCAAAGAAAACCTGAAAAGGTGTGTGTGTTTTGTTTTTTTGGTTTTTTTTTGCAGTTCTTTAGATGATTTTTTTTCCCCTTTTTTTCCTCTTGGTACTGAAACAGATAGGAAATGCTTGAGAAGTGTGAAAATGTGTGTAACAGTTGTTTTCAATGTAGTGGAAACTTCATATATATGAAATTATTTTTAGTTTTAAATTAAAAACTGCAAAGAGAGAAAAATGATTGATTTAAAACTATTTTGAGTGGATATTTCAACAGAGTAAAAGTAAGTGTGATACTCTGGCCAGGCAAATGACACTTTGAATATCTTTGTTGGTTGTTTTTTTTTTACCGGTTGATTAAAATTGTGTACTAAACTATAATTCCTTAGGGAATAGATGCTGTCATTAAGAGGTTGATTCAATTTTATGGGACTACTCAAAGTGGATTTTATTTTTGCCTTAGGTCCTTGTCGCCAGCATTTAGGAGTCCAGAGCATCATAGGCAAAGGCATGCTCATACTAATTATGACTGTGAATATAAAAGCTTTCGTAAGGACCCAAAGAAACCTATGCCTTGGAGAACAGAAGATGAAAAATATGGACAAAGCAATTCCAGGTTTGCGCCTCATGGAAATAACCACCAGAGAATGTACGAACGTAGATCACCTTCACCAAACCTGAAAAGAATTCCCATGGAAGATACTTACAGTCATAAGCCCTACAGAACACATTTGTCTGAAAGAACTGAAAGCAGTAGGAGATGCCAGTTACCACCAAAATACTCGGAAATACCATATAAAGAGCATGATCGTCCATTTTACCAGCACAAAACGGAAGAAAGATACATGTTTGAGCACTACAAAGTCACTGGAAATGAAAAAGGAATGAAATCTTTTCATAGACCGTTAGGGGCTTCATGTAAACTTGAAAGAAAATGGCATGAAGATGACTTGAGGCACCAGAGGTTACATGAAGAGAAGTATGGTCAGTCACCCAGAAGAGTTTCTGATGAATTTACGGCAAGGAGCTCTTTACAGAAGAGGTATAGGAATAAAATAATTAAAACCTGGGTATTGTGGTGTAAAGCCTCAAGTGAAAGTCTGTTTTCATTATAGTTGAAGATATCCACCTTGAAACACGTTGGCCACTTTGTAGTTTAATTATGGGCGACTGGTAGTAGTGAAGTATTTGTCTTTTAAGTAAATCGTGTTGATGGCTAGAGTATGAAAGGATAATATTTCCCTCTTAAGAGCCCCTGCACATCTGTACCTTGGCGTGAGGGATTATGGGTTAACTTGCCACGCATTCTGCTGTCCAACATTCTGCACATATAAGTTCTCGCTTTCTTCTCTAGTGCAAGTGTAAATTGCTTTATGTCAACACAGGTATCCTGAAGATCACGATTACAGAGAATATGGGCACACGTCTAAAAGGGCTAAAGAAATGGAGAGGTATGACGGTGGAGAAGTAGCAAGAAATTCCAAGTGGAAGCAAGAACGTTCTTTTCCACCCTACCAAGAAAAGGAGGAGCAAAGAAATCTGGGTGCCCAGTCCCACCGATCGGCTGAAAGGGAGTACTCAGAGGCTACCTTTGTGACAGAACCCTATGAGTACAGTCACAAACGGCGCAGGCATCTGGATGCGGAAAAGCCTTTTTCAGATGATAGAGCTCAGAAGTACGTGAAGCAGGAAGACCAGAAATACGGTTCTTCTAAGGGTGCCCGGAATAGCAAAGAGTTAGATTACTTTAGTAGTGGAAGAGTGAGATGGACTGAAGAAGGGCACATTGAAGTACCTGTTGTTAAATATAGTTCAAAGAAGGGCTGCAATGCTTGTGTTAACTCTTCCAAAATGGATGCTGATCTGAGATCTTTTAAAAACAAACCGAAGGAAAGAGTAAGGGAAGAAGGGGAATTCAGGAAAAAAGTAAATTCCTCTGATAGCCAGCATGATTCAAGTCATACTGTTTCAGATGTGAAACTGTCAGATGTCAACTGTAGGAGGGAACGTCTCACAATCAAAGTGGATATGAAGAAAATGGTGACCAAGTACAGGTATTGGTTTCCCCTCACCTCTTCTTATTCCTGTGTCTTTACAGTTTATCAATATTGGAGGAAAGCATGGTTTCTTTAAGAGGTAACCAGGACAAACTAAGGTTATAACATTTTAAACAAAGTAGCATGAAAAAGGTAACTTGCCCAGACTGGAAACTTACAGCCTACCTCTATTAAAAAAACAAACAAACAGATCCCCTAGTTCATTTCATGGAGATGTAGTAGGAAGTGGAAAGAGCAGATATGCCTGATACAAACCCATAGTTAAAAGTTGCTTATGACCAGTAAATGTGTTATTTTGATTTAAATACAAAAGCAGAAAAGCCTAGTCCTGTGCTTTCTTCTGGAATATGATGGCATTTTTTTTTGGACTGAGTCATCCTTCATTTCTTCTAAAAACCAGATAACCTTCGAATTACATAAATCTCAGGTACACATTCAGATGCTCAAGATCTCAAGTTCAATAAAGCTGTCAAAAAATGAGCTATCCCTAGGTTATGTTATTTATTGTTGTAACAAATGAAGTGGCAATCTGTTGAGGCATCAGAACTGAACAGCAGTAGAGTATGCTTCTGTCTGTCTTTGGTCTAATACTTGTGGTTGCCTTTAGCATTCCCAATGCTGGCTGAATTGGAAGAAAGTGGTAATATTATGAAAATCTAGATGATGGATACATGGTAGATACAAGCAGCTTGGTTTGTGTAGATTTTTTTCAGGCTTTCCTGGTTTGTTACTTTGCTGTTGCAGGCAAGAATGTCATATAATGGCAGTAATCCCTTTTGGAAGGGATTACCTTCCCTTACAAAATGATCAGCCTTCATTTTAAAGGTATTTTGCCTCTTGTCCCAAGTAAAAATCTATGTCAGTCTTTTTCCCTGTCCAGTATTTCAGAAATACGTAATACAGCGGAGAGTTACAAAGACAAGTTACCATCTGCACATTAGAGGCTAATTTTAAAGACTGAGGAAAGGGAAATGGAGTAATACCCCCTGTCCCCCTGCCACTGGGCTATGACAAGCATTTAACTTCCTGAATGATAATGTAAGGGAAATAACTTAATTATTGTTGGACTTTGTTGTAAGCCCACGGGACAATTCCTATATCTAGTAGCCTCTTGCCTGCTGTCTTTGAAAAGCATGTACAATGGACGTGGTAATTATTTGCAGACTGAAGAAACTACTACATTGATTACAGTTAATTTCATGTGTGGAATGTTTCCTTCCGCAGCCAAAAGTACTAAATATTTTATTTTTTTTAAAGACAAGAACACTAATTTTACAGAAGCTGATGACTGGGAATATTTGTGCTGCCTGCTTTAGGCATTTAACAAACACCTCACTTGAAATGACTCAGCTGAGAAGAATACTTTATAAACCTGGGGAGCAGGTAGAGAATTCAAATCATCTACAATTGAGATTGTTTGGATTCCCTCTTGCATGTGTTTATTTCCAGTTTACTGGGGACAAATATGACTTCTGGCACCTGCTAGAGGATATTTCTGATACAATTTTTGTATGAAATTCTCGTTTTTCGTGCTTCAAATACAGGATGGGCAGGCACATAATCACTTTGCAGAGTCATTATTCTAAAAGCTTTTACACGAGCTGTTTGAGTCCTCAATTTATCTTTCTGAGTGACAAGCGTTTTCCTTGCAACAAGAACAGCAGGATTTTTAAAGCGTTAGCTTCCTTGTCAAAATAATTCTTAAGCAGCAGTGCAACCATTTGGGGCGTAACTTACTTGGAATGAGTAAAATTGGACAAAAAGATGCAAAACATGTTCTTAAGTTCACACAGTGCCACTGGAAAGCAGTTTTACTAGACTCAAGTGATGATTCCGTTTCCAAAGATGCTGTGAGATTCTTACATCTCTGAACTGTTCTTGAAAGTTGTCTGGTAGCTCCTTATAAACAAAGACACATACATAATTGTCTTCCCGAATTACACTAAAGTAGTATATTGGGATCTTCATTTGCCTTTATTTGATAATCTAGATGAATTAAGTTAAAAATCACAGATTTTATATTACATATTTCACCAAAACAAGAATTCCTGAGAGTATAGTCGTATGTCTTTGTATTTTAGTATAGCTTTTCTTCCTTACAGCCTTAGGAGTTTTTTAATTAAAAAAGGAACAAAATGAGATTTTGGTTTTCATCACATTTATTCCTAAAATTAACTTCTTAATTTATTGCTTTGTTCTACACGTCTCTTTGAAGTTTTCAGATATAGTGAATTCTTTTTAAGTTAATATATCCAACTTTTATTCTAGGACTGCTTCTAGTCATACTACAGAGAGACAGATGTCCCATGATCTGGTCGCTGTTGGCAGGAAAACTGAAAATTTTCATCCGGTATTTGAGCACATGGAGTCTGTAACACAAAATGTTGAAAATGACCCATCCAGAGAATTTACTCAGGAAATAATCACAATTATCCATCAAGTTAAAGGTGGCTGTAATATTTGGGGTATATGTATGTGTTTATTCGTGATTGTTAAAAACAAATCTAATGAATTAGGTATGCTGTCCTTGTAAGTCCTGGGTGTTTGCCTTTGGCTTCACTTGTATTTTGTCTTTATTCTGCGTTGTTTAAGGAAAATGTAGGTTGAGGATTTAAAGTAGTTGGGTGGAGAATGATTGTAAGATTGTCTTAGTCCATGATAGAGGCATTACTATAGAGTGTTAAGTTCAAAAGGATTTTTATGCAAGTACTTAAGACTAACCTGCTTGTTTAGGAAACAAGAAAAAAACAGGAGCTTTGCTGTAGCCACAACTTCCTAGTTGTATATAGTTCCTTAAATTTTTCAGATTAGTGTTTATACTGCTGTATCATGTTCAGTGTTGAACTTCTTTATAGATTCTAGTCATTTGAGTACTACCGTGATAGAGCTGACAAATAGTGAACTTTCTATTGAGCTTAATCTTACTAAATAAGAAGGATGTCTAAGGATTAATTAATTAATAAAAAGGATAGCCTAATCTTTCATTTGTGAATGTTAAACTGCAAGTGGAAATAGTTTGAAATTTAATCTCAGACTTTGTCTTTGTGTCCTTAAGAGTTAATCTTCTTTTAAAAGATACAATTTCCCACTGTATACTTCAAATACTACAAACAAACATTCTTGTGTTTAATATCTTTTCTCAGCAAATTATTTTACGTCTTCTGACATAACTCTACATGAACGGTTCTCAAAAATTCAGGACAAACCAATTGCAAATATGAGTGAAGTTAAAATACATTTGGATCCAGAAATTCACAGGTAATTGATAGGCTTTTTGCCTTAATTTATTTGCATTATGGTAGTTAATCTTCAGTAGACTTTACACAATGTAAAGTGTTTTTTCACTGATTGTAAACTACCTGTCTATAGCCTGTTAAGAATTCTGTAGTTGGTCAATAATGCTTTTGCTATTTATAATGATGGCACTTGTTTTTATGTAATATTTTTGTGTTCCAGGAGGATTGACATGTCTCTAGCAGAACTTCAGAACAAACGAACTGTGCCATCTGAATCTCCCCAGGTATCTTGATTACTTCACTTTTTTGTCAAACAGTAAGTTACAATGATATAGTTGTTAAAAACATCTCCCCCATGCTATTGGTAAGTCATTTTTGCATGCTTTGAAGAACATCAGTAATTCTGACTATTTTGAAAGAAATGCACACTTGAGCATATTTACAGATGCCATGATGGTGCAAGTATACTGTGTTCACTGATGAGTAAAATGTAGATGTGTTCTCCAGAGTAGCTGCAGTGTGGTTATTCCTGCCCCTTGAACACCTAGCTGTTTTTAAATAGTGTAAATACCAAGTAGGTGACTGAAATGTGGCTTGCTCTTTTCCTCTGAGATTAGAAAAAGACTTAATGTTTCTGCTACCCTAATGCTAGAATGGCCCAACATCCACATAATTCCTCAGAACTCTATTTTATCCCATGCTTTTATCCAGGGACACAAGATTTTCTGCCTTCCCCTTTCAAGCTATGCTTACTGTGATATAGTTACCTTTTTTTCCTATAGTGCAAGTCTGTGGCGATTCAACTCAAGAAGTTCTACTATTAAGACTTGAATTTATGTGACTATCTTCTAGTTAATATCTAACTCCATGCAGAATTCCAGTGCTCTGTTCACTATTTGGACACTTGTAAAAAGACAGGTGGTGCAAGAAAGGGTGCTTGTTTGGGACTACTTTTTGTTATTGTTTTCAACTTTGGATCCTTGGGTTGATGTGCATCCATCCTATATGCAGATAGTTGAACTAGGTTAACAAGGTTATATACCAGGTGCAACCCCTGAAGGACAGATTAATCTCAGTGTTTAGTTATTACTAGCTAATGTGACTTTAACCCTTCCTCTTAACTAGAATATTATGAGAGTGTTAGAAGATCCAAATGATCTACGGCACGATATAGAAAGGAGGAGAAAAGAGAGATTGAAGAATGAAGATGAGAGAGTGTTTCATGTAGATGGTGTAACTCCAAGGTAATTAGCAAATAATCATCTTGTTGGCCCAAGCCAGTAGTTCTCTTATACGTTCAATTTTTGACTCTTCCACAGCTACATTCACATTTGTTGTGATTCTTTTCCATAGTTTGTCCTTGCAAGTTTGACTCGGACTGAAATTCAACTGACACACATTGTAAACCACTCTGTAATGGAGTGTTACCCTGAAAGAAGTTAAGCTGCAGTGGGACAAAATGAAAAGCAAGCTCAACCTGTAGCACTGACTGGGGGGAAATTAAATTAAAGATGCTTAACTATTTTTAAACTCCTTGATGTGCCATGTAACAACATTCTCTTGGTATTTTGTAGTTTCATAAAAGCATAAGCATTCTAGGATGAATACATTGTTGTGTTGCCCTGGTTGTTTTGTAATGTCTTGCGGAATATCAACAAAGAACTGGAATTTTTCTGATTCTTGGAGAATTTCATGAAGAAAAGCTAATTATTTTTTTATTAGTTTTTTTACTGCTATGAATGCCTCCAACAGGTTCATTAAAGATGTTTGCCCCAGAGGTGTGTTTCTAACCTCAGTCATCCTGTTCCACTTTTGATGTTGTGAGGTTGGTTGATTACAGAGATGACTCAACTTATTTGTATTAGAAGAAACGTTGATTAAAGAATTGCCAGAGTATAATGAAATGTATCTATGCTGTAGTCATGATTTGCAGATTGCTGTTAATATGCTGCTGTTTGTTCTTCTTAAATGCAGTCTATAATGGCAAATAGTGGCAATGCACAGCTACTTGGGAAAATTGACTTGTGAAGCTGCAGAAAATATTTCTTGTGTTTGAGGTTCTTTAAACAAAGAAATGAAAGTTATCAAGTGGGGGAAAAAATTAAATATTGGACTGTTGCATTATAGCCTTTTGTGTACCTGGCTCTATGTCTTTAGTGTATGTTTGGCCTGATTATCTGAGGCGGCTTTTATTTGCCACTTCCACAGTTACTGTCTTGCTTGCCTTTTGTGTACGCCGCTCAAAGCAGGAAGCTCAAGTTTCTCCAGCAAGTGTGGCTATGCTGGAGTTCGATGTGAGGAGGGGTTACGCTATCAGAGTAACATGGATGATGTAATGTGGGCCCAGGGCAGTAATGAACGATGGGTAGAATTTTCCCAAGGTTGGTGTTTTTTCATAGTTCACATGTGAGATACTGGCAATGCTTATGAGCTAGTCCAGTGTGCCTCTATTTTTGCCTTAATTTATTTTGCAGCTATGAAAACTGTTTCTGAATGTTTCATGAACTATGAATTTTGACTTCTGGTGGTTACTTTCCATGGTATATGTTTAAATTTATTTAGAGGTTTATAGACACATCTGTATTAGCAATGTGCTCATTAAAAATCAACAAAACTCAAGCAAGCAAAAGCCCAAAGCCAGAGCACACTGCTTGCTGAGGGTGAAACCGGAGCATCTAGCTAGCATCTAGATACTTATCTGAGCTTCTGTCGGATTTGGGATTTCATGAAATGGAAGGTTCTGTACAACGTGAAAGGCAGTACAGTGCGAAACAACTGCTGAGCTGCAGAAAGGATTTCAACCAGCGGAGGGCGGCAATGACCAGCCGTGCAGGCCTGACGGGGTGAGCCAGGGAAACCCGGTTTGCACAGCGAGGCTTTCAAGGAGGCAGAAGTATCTCTGCTTTAGCTGTCATTGCATAAGAGAATACAGCTTACTATATAATTCTGTGCAACTCTGGCTTGAGTTTAGTCAGAGGACTAGTAATTTGCTGAACGTGCTAGAAGAAAATGACTTTAAACCCATCACTTTACACTTCTAAGTGGTACAAATGCTAGACTAAGGTAATTTAAAATACAGGGTTTTGATATGCTGTGGCTTTAGATTTTAATTATTCTTTTTCTCTCTCTCGCACACATACACATCAGGAACCAGCAAAGCTGCAATCTTTCAAAATTACAAAACTCTCAGCTTGATGGCTTCCAAAAGCCTATGAGGTTCATTAAGCCACCTTTCAGGAAATTTATTGGGAAACCTCACCTGGTAAGCCTAAATGTAGAATTAGTAGCTTCTGTGTGTGTTGTTCTTGCATTTATAATTCATTTTTTGCTGATTGTCTATGCATAAATTTAACAATCCGTGATGTCTTGTCCTTTTAAATTTCAAGTGAAATTTATTATCTTCAGACTTTGCTTAACAATAAAATTGCTCATCATTTCACAGTTCTAGGGCTCTATTTCAGATATTTCTTGAAGCATAGGTTAATACAAGTGAGCTAAACCCACTTTTATGACCAAATTGCTGATAGAAAAAACATTCTTTTGCTTTTGCATGCCTATGGAGTGTTCCATAACAACTTTTGCTACTGTTTTTTTATAACTTAGCAGTGAGTTGGCCAGGGATTTGTTGTTTCAGAAAGCTAGTTTAGATCGGTATGTTGGGTGAAATAAAAACCTTTTTTCAACTAATCTGGAAATAAAGTGGTGAACTTTAGATCTGTTATTGAATAGCAGGAACAAGTCCAACTAAACTTTTGAACTAAATTTTAAGTTTGAAATTACTTATTGAAATTAACTGATTAAGGGGCTCTATGAAATAAAAACTTTTATTACTTGTAGCTTTGTAAAATAAATTTGTACCTAGTATTGCATGTCTTCCACTTAATGATGTACTACCTAAAGTATAAATTAGAAGGCCTTGTTATTGAGCAGGTAACCTGAGGTAATGTTGAACAATTTGAGAAAAAGCGTACTCTCCTGCATTCTAGTTGTCAGTGGTTGGAAGGGAAGATCTGAATCTTGTTTTGTGTAGAGTGGTATTGTTACTAAAAACCACTGTTACTAAAACAGTGTTTCCCATTATGATAAAAGTTCTGGAAAGCTCTTATTTTAGGAACAAATCACAGAGATAATTAGAGATGTCTGAAATAACGTTCCTGAGGATGGAATGTTATCCAATGGAATAGCTTATCTGCGTTAATATTGCGTTTATCAAAGCTAGTTTGGGAACTGATTTTTTCTTAGGCTATCTTTCTGTAATGTGCTTTACTGAAATGGGGAAGACAGTAATATTAGGTTCATATTATTGGAAAATTCTTTCTAAATAAATGTAGTTGTATTTCCAAGTGTTTGTGCTCATTTAACTTGGGGAACTGGTGAGACTAGAAAGCTGTATTCATGTCTGTAGTACAATTCTAAAACATCTTTTTTTTTTTTCTGGTGCAAAATGAGGAGACTAATGTAAATTGTCCGTCTTTATATATTGTAGTTAATACTCTACAGACAGCGTTTGAAAAGACCATGAAACTTTTCTGAGGTCCATCAAAAGTAGCTTTTATTTAGTCAAAGTTCTGACCATCACTGAAATGTAGCTGCCTTGCAGATGTAACAGTGTGTCTTTCCGTGTAAAACACCACAGGCTTTTAACAGTAGAAAATGTTACTTAAGGCTAAGATTGAAGTCCCCCAAAACAAGTAGTAATTGCTCATTAAGTAATATAGTAATTGCAAATAAAAAGGGAGGGACTTTGGAATAGAAACTGAGTTATTGTTAGATATGCTGAAGATTCAGGAAGAATGTATTTTGGTATCTAATAGCAAACTGCAAACATGCAGTTTTTAAAGTCCTACTTTGCAGTGAGGAGTTATCCATTCAGAACAACAGTAGCTGTGAAAGCATGGCTATTACAAATGCAAGGCATCCTAAAGAAGGAATGACTCTTCATGAAGTCAGCCATGCAGAAGCTGGTTTGCAGACAAGTAGAAAAATGAAATGCTTTAGTTTGCTTTAGTTTGCCATCCACATTCGTCAGTAAAAATAGAATTAATCAATGCTTGCCAACTGGCTCAGAGGGCTTACAGACATCTTGCAAATGTGTCTGCAATACATTAATTGGCACTTTAATTGCACCTGCTTTTCTGTTTTTTTGTTTCTGTTCTTGCCTTTTGATTCTTATTCTGCTCCCCTTGTCTGTTTTCCTGTTTATCTAGTATGTCTAATGTTCAAGATGTAAAGTAATGCAGAAAGAGGGTAATCTTCCTGTGCAGAGCAGATCACTAGTATAGCTAACTTGTATCTGAGGCAGTACAAATAATTCAGCTGAATAGGCTAGCTCCTGTAGTGTGGCACTTCCCATGACATGTAGACATGTTGTGTGAGAAATGTATGGTGCTCAGAATGGCTTTCCTTGAAGGGGTTCTTCAGGATTGGGTGTGATTGAAAAAGAGCTTATCCTGGTGGGCAATAGCTAAGGCTCGATCTCCGTACCTGGAAGCTGCTTAGTACTGCTTTAGTATTTGTTGTGAGAGTTAAGTGGAGTGGCATCCAAGCAGCCAACTGTAATTTCAGCCACATGTATCATTTCTGCGTTGAGTAGTTTTCTGTAATAAATTCAGAGCTGTGTGACTATTCACTACTAGTTTGGAAGTGTAATATTAGTAGAGTTTAAAGCAGCCTTAGGAAAAACAAAAATGAATGAAGGTAAAGGCCATTTTTAGCTGCTTTCTGCAAGAGGACAAGTGTTGGAATTTGCCATTCAGAAAGAGCATGTCAGAATAGTACAGTTCAGGTGCGAACACTGCCGATCAACTTGAAAAGTGTAAGGACAACGACTAAAAAGCAGTGTTTGGAGAACAATGCATTGGATTTAAGAAGTGGTTTGGTGGGTCACCAGAACATGGATGCTGGGTAGACTGCACCTTTTTAAATAGGAAACATCCTAAAATGAAGGATATGTGCTGGGGCGCAGCAATACATGGGAAAACTGAGGGAGAGCTTGAAGCATAAGCAAGAGCTAATAGCTGTTAAATAAAGTAACTTTTTGTGGTTTTGCTCAGTCTTACGGATTCTTGGGTAGATATTGGTTCAGTAGGTTTCACAGTCCAAGCAGAGGTCTCCAGTTTTTGTGGGAGGCTTTTTTATGTTGCGGAAGAGATGTAGTGGTAACACGTTGTATTGGCAAAATTGTAAAGGTGTAGGAAGACACATGAGAGAGTATGCAGTAGACATCTCTTGCCACTTTTGTTGAAGAGAGTTCCATGTTCCACCTGTAATCTTAAAAGCAAACCCTTGGAAATCCAAAACAAAAACTAACATTCAACACTCCTCTAAGGTTGGTTTGTTCTTGTTTATAGATACTATTGAGAGAAAAGTACATCAGAGAGCCAGGTTTCAAATGACAAGCGTAACAGTGCCAAGGCTCAGAAAATGGCAAAAGTAACTTTAAAAAAAGAGTATTTGATAGGAAAACCACTACAGCATCTTAAATTATAACACAGGATTTAAAAAAAAAATTAGATAAATATTTGCACATTTTTGTCTTTGTTAGTAAAATTTCATTGTGGTTTTTATCACTGCTTGAGGAGCATTGGTGAAAGATGGATGCTTAAAAACTGAAAGCCTGAGCAGTAGCTCATATCTGGTGCTAGGATGTTGCCTAAGGTGAAAACGGGTAATGTGCTGGTCATATTAAAATGTCCTTACAGTAAACTATCAAAATGTAATATTAACACCACTTTTTCCTCTCTTGTTAAAGGGCTGATATTAGTCATTTGGGTTAAAATTAAACATGAAAATGGTATTGACTTGGTTGGCCTACTTTTGGTATCCCATGATTAACCAATATTCAGTGTAAAATATGAGCACCTTTTACAGCAGGCCAGTGAAGGGGAGTGTTTCTTGTGTTAATATTCAATAATTGGGGGCTGAGCTTAAACTTGAGAAGAACTTGTGTCTTGAAGGTGCAAATGTCTGTCCAGACTTGATTGTATGAAATGTCCATCTAGCCTTGTGCCCTATTGACAAAAAGAAGATCGCTAAAGAGTTGATTAGAAGCAGCATCTATTTCTACTTCACCTTTTGGTTTTTTTTGAAAAAAAAAAAACAAAAAAAAACAAAAAAACTGTGGTTTAGGAAATTCCTGGAGAGTAGATTGTAGTATCTTTGCAATAAGTAGTTCTAATGTTATTGTTTCCATGAATGTACTTGAATCTTGAGGGAGGTGGGGATGGGGAAGGGTGTATCCACAGTTACTTGAGAGAAGTTTTCTTTTAATTCCCAAAGGTTTATTTTTAACTGTAACAGGAAAACTTATTGAATTCAGGAAGAAAAAAAAAATTCTCAGCTTTAAGGAGGAGTGTACTTCAACAGGGAGCTTCCTGATTTAATTGTGTTGTATGAAGAAAGTTGATTTGATTTCATGGAGTATCTTCATATTCTTCGAATAAGAAGGGAGCTAGAAAGTTCCTGACGTGCTTTTTCCTCTATGTATTTAATTTTCCACACCTTTTTTTCTTGAAAAAACCATTTTGACTACTTTGATCTCACTTCCTGAAGTCTTTCTTCCTCTTTTTTTATTCTCTGCTGGATCCCCTCTTGTCAAGGCATTTTAAGAAACTAAATAGTTGACTTGTGGGCAATAATGTATTCTCAAAAAAAAAGAAGCTAGCTTAGATCCCAGTTGAAAGTTAACTTGGATTCTAACTCTGTTCTGTTGTGTTTATAGCCCCTGCCCCCAATTAGTAACAGCATTAGAAAGCATATTCAGTGGCACAAGGTTTGGTACTTTGTTGGAGAAGAGAAATTCTGTGAACAGCAAAGCATTCATTTCTGTTTATTAGATGTTAGTATATATGAAATATTTTATGAGAGTTCTCTTCTTGGGCTCTTCTTAACAGGCATTTGAAGCCGTTAAAATTTCCTTTGGAAAAAAAACACCAGAGTTTTTAGCATTGGAACAGTTGTTCAAGAATTCAAGAATAGACCATAAAAAAAATAAAAAAAATTTGATTGCTAAGGGTTTGTTACCAAGTTCATTCTGTCTGCATTAGATGACTTTACATACTGGCATATGCTATGTTAATGTTTCTGTAAATATTTATAATCATAAGCAATGATGGAAAAGAATGATGTTTTAGCTGTGTGCATCCTCTCAAGGTAGATGTCATGAGAAAAGTTGGAAAAGGGACAAAATACACAGGACAGTGGCTGGGGGGAGTGCTCTATTTTAGGTAACCATGGCTGTTTTGACTGCAGCTCTTCAGTGTGACACACAACAATTTCAATACTGCTTGTCTGTGCCACTTGCTTTTGAAATCATGTGTTTGTGGCAGGCGAGTTATCTTCAAAATGCTCCCCTGTAATACAGAGTTAAAAGTAGAATCTTCTAAGGACCAGTGTAACGTGCTGCACAGTCATTGTCTGGTTGCTGTGGTGGTGTATATAGTAACAGTGCATGTGTCTATAAAACATCTCTAAAACATGCTAACCTATGATGACCGTATGCTAACCAGGGATGTCCAGAGTACTAATCTTGTTGCCTGTATTCCTCACTCAAGGGATGACTGCAATAGCAGCCTGTCTACTACACTTGCTGCATGCAGATTAAGGCATCTGTTCAAGGGGTGGGGCGTGGAGAGCCTAAATTGGGTTGTCACCTGCTTAGATCTCTCCGAGATGATGATATTTAAGTAGGATGGTCTGTATCATCTTTGGCTTCTGTGAGCTGTGCCACCACTTCAGCCGGGCTGGACTTCAGTCCCTATGCTCCTGTTACTCTTGTTCCTTCAAACAGTGTTACTGTATCAAGTGCTACAAGATTGAAAGAGTTGCAATATTTGCAGTATTTGTTAGTATAACCTGGAAATGTTGTATGTTTTCTTGAATAATTTGGTGACATTAAGCTACCAACTCTGTTTTCCTACTAGAATTCTTACTATTCTTCAAAACCAAGTGATACTTACCCTCACAGACGCATTAGAGGACACCTTGAAAATGCAGGACCCATCAGAAGATCCTTTAAGGTACAGATCGGCTTTTATTGGATGTTACATAAAATGATAATTTGATCCTGCTGAGTTCAGTAATGGGAGACACATTTTTGAAGGTATTAAGTGCCATGAAAAACAGTGCCATTGTAGTCTAATTGTTTCCATTGAAATAATGGGGAGCTTAGCTCTTAGTAGGTAAGACTGCTGGCAGTGGATTGAGCAGCGTTGTCCAGTATTGTATCCATAAGTTAACTGCAAAGTTGAGAATGAGAATTGCGGAAACTAGACAATGACTAGAAAACTCATTTGTCCAAAAAACAAGCCGATCAACTTTTCTTTCCTTTGCCTAATGCATGCAGAAGCCTGAACTATATCCCAAGACTGGGAGACATGAATTGTTTTGCTTTCAAAATTGTATTACCGTTACTTTATTAGCCCTTTTGTATAGGGATTTGTGGGGAACTAATCTCTTCTGTATATCCTGCATACTGCTGTCTATGCATTTAAAGAAAAAAAAATCTGTGAAAAAATTAAACTGTGGAAAAAAAAAATGAAATTTATTCTCCAGGCCTCAAGATGGTAAAGGGGTGGGCAGCTGTGCTTCTTCCTGGGGTAGTGCAGTGGCTTTCTGATGCCTTTTGATTTGTAAAAGGTATCATGGGTTCAGCA